GCCCAGCCTGAGCGAGCAGGGTATTCGCACACCATGTTATGTATCAGGTTTCGTGCCCCTCCCACCCCTCCAGGGAGGACCCGCGTGAGCGGGCAGGGTATTCGCACACCATGTTATTTATCTGGTTTCGTGCCCCTCCCACCCCTCCAGGGAGGCCCCACCAGAGCGGGAAGGGTGTTCGCACACCATTTTATTTATCAGGTTTCGTGCCCCTCCACCCCTCCAGGGAGGCCCCACCAGAGCGAGCAGGGCATTCGCACACCATGTTATTTATCAGGTTTCGCGCCCCTCCCAACATTCCAGGGAGGCCCCGCCAGAGCGGGCAGGGTATTCGCACACCATGTGACTTATCAGGTTGCATGCCCCTCCCACCCCTCCAGGGAGGCCCCACCAGAGCGGGCAGGGCATTCGCACACCATATTATTTATCAGGTTTCGTGCCCCTCCCGCCACTCCAGGGAGGCCCCGCCAGAGCGGGCAGGGTATTCGCACGCCATATTTTATTGTTAGGTTTCGTGCCGTTCCCGCCCGTCCAGGGAGGCCCCACCAGAGCGGGCAGGGTATTCGCACACCATGTTATTTATCAGGTGTCGTGCCCCTCCCACCCCTCCAGGGAGGCCCCACCAGAGCGGGCAGGGTATCCGTACACCATATTATTTATCAGGTTTCGTGCCCCTCCCACCCCTCCAGGGAGGCCCCACCAGAGCGGGCAGGGTATTCGCACACCATATTATTCATCAGGTTTCGTGCCCCTCCCACCCCTCCAGGGAGGCCCCACCAGAGCGCAGACAAGAAGCAATGGAACCCCGTAACATCTTTATGTGGGGAACTCCGTTAGCATAATTTTTTATCGACTACACGTAAGAGTGACCTTTCGCCGGAGTGACCTTTGGTGCGGGCCCAAAGGGCTCCCCCGATCGCTGAGCGCGAAGCGGCAGCAGCGACTTGCGCGCCCAGCTTTGGCCACCCCGCGTCCCCCGTTAAGCCGCGCACCAAAGGGTACTCTTACCCAGGGTTGCTCTTACGTGCAGCCGATTTCACGACGCGAGCACGTCTGGGTCCCGACGATCCGACGCTTCCCCAGTGCCTGCCCGGCGCTGGTGTGCATCTCGGCGCGGGCGCTCCGGTTCGGCTGCGGCTCCGTGCCGATGCGGCCCGGGCCAGGCGTCGAGGACGTGACGTTTTCAATGCGCGGCGTCCCCACCCCTTCCTGGGGGCCAGCTCTGCTGCCCAGGCCAATGCTTCTTATGGCCCCGGGGCCCGATAACGGGCCGCAGAGGCCGAAATCTGTGAGAAACTCTTGGGATTGAGAAATCGTGCCGTCGGAGATCTGGAGGTCCGGCGCGCACATGCGGGTCTTGCCCGGCTTCCTGAGTCGACGATGCCTCGGGATGCAACTCTCCAGGGAGGTTTAGTGTTTAGTTCGGCATCGGCGCTGGTACGTCCGTGGTCGAAAACGGGTCCAGTCTGGCACAATCTTGGCTAATTCCGCTCCATTCCGCTTAGCATAGCATGTGGCTTTGTCCGCCTGATCCAGTCAGCCCCATCTTCTTATCTATCGCCCCCTTCCCTCAGCCCCACGGAACGACGTTCCCACTATGCGTGACATGCTTGAGGTAGGTGGGGTCCAGGAGTGCATGGTCGGTGAGGGTGGGAAGGACGGAGCACGCGAGACAGGGGAGCGAGCCGCAGGAGTGTGGCTCAACGCGCGGCTTCTGCGCAACCATGTTCGGTTTCTTCTCCCGCTCTGGTGCATCGGGGGATGCTGCATCGTGGCTTGCAGAAGCGTGCGGTCGTGGAGTGCTGCACTCACCAGCTGATCTCGGGTTCCCGCAGGGTTCGGGATCGGAGGGTCGCTGCAAGACGTTGGGCCGATCTCCCGCGCGTGACGCATGCAGAGTACTCGCCGCGGCCCTCGAGGCTGCAGAGTACCATTCCGAGGCGGTGGTTGCCTTTTGGTTGTGTGCGAGTTGCCGACAGTGGGAGCGCACGCGGCGTTTCTGGGCATCCTGGCTTCGCAGCACGGTGCGGCAATGGCGGCGTCGTTTGGCGTCCATGCTTCCGTTCATTCCCCGCTGGCCGGAGCCTTTGCTTCGCGCCCAGCGCGTAGGTCCCTCAGCCGTCGCTGGCCGGAGCTCCTGCTTGGCGCCCAAGGCGCGGCTCCGCTCAGCCTCCGCTGGCTCGAGCCTCTGCTTCGCGCCCGGCGCGTGGCTCCGCTACCTCGCGTGGCCGCGGCGTGGCGGTGAAAGCCCGCGGCCGGTCCCATTTTCTTTTCTCGTTTAAGGGATCGCGCCCGGCTAGGTCGGGTATTGGGTCTTCTCCACCAGTTGTTCCTCGCGCGTGCGTCTCACTCGCCCCGGCTGCGCTCGCGCTGGAATTAGTGGGAGCTGCACAACGGGAGCCAGACCAGGCTCTACAACGTCAGATTCATCTCGCAAGGTGCACAACAGCTCAGGGTGTCAGTGGACTACGCAACCAGGCCCGGCAATTATTTTCAGATTGCTTGCCTCTTTCCCTTGGCACTTGGGTGAAATCACTGCGTGTCACCGAGCGCGTTCCACTACTCGCAAAGTGCCGACTCGCAAACGTGCGAAAAACGCGGCCGTTTCGATGCAATTGATCGTAGATCCCCTGCGGCGGATCCAGGCGATTTGCGAGTAGTTACTTTGCGAGTAGCGGAACGCGCTTGTCTAGCGTGGGACGTTGCGTCGTGGCCGTTTGAGCATCAATCCCGCGGCAAAGCGGGCCCACTGAGAGCGCACCAAACCTTAGATTGGATTGTGGGGCTACTAGTTGTGAGTTGCGCGTGCAACGCCCATGATGGGCCTGTTTTCCACCACCATCACCATAAGTTGGAGGGGGATGGGGTCCTCCTCCTTCTCCTCCTCGTCCTCCTCCTTGTCCTTCTCCTCCTCCACCTCCTCCTCCTCTTCGTCCTCCTCCTCGTCGCCCTCCTTCTTCCCCCCATCCAGCTTATGGTGGTGGTGGTGTTGGGAAACAGGCCCATCAGCCCACTCAGGTGAGCTCAAGAGGACGGTGCTGGTGAATCTGTTGTGGAAGTCCCCTGACGAGCAAATCATGTGCATTGAGTGTTTGGTGTACGAGTCACCTGAGTTTATCCAAGCATTGTATGCCAGGGTTGTTGTATGCACAGCGTACAGTGTTTTGAGGTGGTCTGAGTTTCAACGGCCAGAAGGCATGACGCGCATTACACATGCAATTGTTGCTGCTAAATCGACCATGAAGCGTCAACGCTGCTTGGTCGCACGGGTGGCCTTCGCAGTGGGGTTCTCGGATTCGGGTGGGGTCTACGTGGATCACCGTGCTATGTCGCGCAGAACTGCCCAGGCAGGACTTTGTTCTGCTTGCTGCAAGTGCGACTTGCATGTTGCTCACGCGCCGCATCGCCGAGTTCTCGGATGCCGGGAGCCTCTGCCCAAAATTTTTGGGCCCAGAGCCTCTGGAGCTGGTTTGAATTGCGGGAGGGTTAGCAGTGTATGCAAAAAACCATCAGAATTTGTCTTCAAGCGCTGCGGGCCCTTCCGCCGTTCAATATGTCGGTGGAGGCCGTTCTGTCGTCTTCGCAGCACGGGTTTAGGTATGTTTATGTTAGAGCTGCGCAACATTGAAGCGCCAATGTCTGCTACTTCGCAGATGCCGCAACGATATGATAGCAGCACAGCATGTTCCTCGGAGTTGGTGGAGAAGGAAGAGGCGCGCGCCACGATAGCTCGGGGATGGCGCACTGTGCCAAACGCTTGCCTGCTGTCACCGGCTCCCGTCGCTGCGGCGCCGTGTGCGCCATCTACAGAAGTTGTGGTGCGTGTCTTGGTCGGGGAGCAGGTGCTGTCTGCGTTTCGCCATCTTCATATCATCCATTGGTGGGCGTCTGGCGGCCACGCCGTTTCTCGACGGTGGCAACGCATGCGCGATGGCGTGCCTGTAGCGGGGTCTACGTTTCAGCCGGGTGATTGGGAGTGGCCGAACGAGTCTGCAGGCTTTGCGTGGAGCAAACACGTTTTGCGTTCATCATGCGAGGAACGCGCGTGGCGCGGACATGTGTAATTGTCCCGCATTCGTTTGGAGCACTGTGGTTAGGGGTGTCATATCCCATGAGCACCAGGCCCCCCTCGTCGCCATGCACCACACGGGAAGTGGTGGAGTGGCCAAACGGATATTACGTCATCAGTGTCTCCCCCCGCTATGTTTTTTCTACTGTTGCTGGCTCTCTGCCCTCTCTTTCGCCTTCCCTCCCTCTGCGTGACATGCTTGAGGTTGGTGGGGTTTCGGGGTGCTTTCACGGTGAGGGTTGGAAGGGAGGGGCGCGAGATGCAGGGCGGCGCGCCGCAGGAGCGCGGCTCAGGTCGCACAGCTTCTGCCCACCGGTCGCGCCGCAGCCGTGTCTCCCGAGTTGCACGCAATTCTGAGCTCGTCGAAGAGTTTGAGTGAGCGAAGGCATTCGCACTCTTTTCGCGTTTGGTGCGCCTACGTCCCTAAGAGGACCAAGTCGCGACGCACATCGTTGAACATGCCAAGGCTAGAGGGGCGCAGTCTCCGAGGCTTGCCAGCGCCGTCCGCAGTGTCAGGTCTTGAAAGGCTCGCCGGACACTGGTGGGCCAGGACACCGACGCGCTCGCCCAGCGCAAGCAAGCACAGGACGACGACTCGCCTCCCAAGCCTACCAGCGAAGATCTCGTACATAGTAGGCAGAAGTATAACAAGTTTACTCTGCCCGTGGGCGGGCTGCTGACGGATGGGTTGCAGGGCCAGTACCGCGCAATCAACGGCAACCTGTGAATCACACCGTTGCAGTTGATGGAACATTTCCGCTCGGGAAGGTAATGCGGACAAGCGGTCGTCAGATTTGCTTGTCCCTGGCCGTTTGAGCGAGCCTGTGTTTGCGCGGGCGGTGGTTGCTGTCGCCGTGCAGGTGTCTTATCAGGCGCACATCCAGCCCAGAGCGTTCTTTACGCTCGCCCTGGTGTCCACCCAGTGTTCAGAGTGGTTGGACTACGACGACGCCGAGTTCGTCTCGGACGCCATCTTCGCTTTCGCCAACGAGCACACCAGCACCATGCCAGTGGGCTTCTTCGCGTCTGCATGGGGCAGCACGCACGAATGCGTACTTCGTCGAGGGCGCACGCGCGAACGAGAAGACTATGAAGAGAACCGTGCGCGCTGTGAGCAGCTGGCGCAACTACTGGAAGCAAGACCACTCGACGCTTGCGTCATAGCCCGCCGCCCCCGCCCAATGGCCCGCGGCTGCTTCGGGGTCGCGCGGCGCTCAGATGGCCCCAGACTCAGGGCAAGAGTAGGGCCGCCTCAGGAACCTCTCGAGGTCCTTCCAGTCGCAGAAGGACAGTGCGTCGGCCGCCCTGAACCAGACGTGGCAGCGGGAGAACGCGGGTTGGAGGTCCATCCCGCGCCAAAGCCAGCAGTGAAGTTACGACCGGGGCAATGGCCACCTGGGTGGCAAGGGCGCCGGCTCTGCAGCCGGCGACCAGGACCGGCGCGACCGCCGTCGGTGACAGGATGCCCATGAGGCGTGGCGGCAGGGTCGGCATTCAGAGCCTACAGTGGCGCGCAAGGCCCAGCCATTCTTCGGCGGTCTCCTGCGCGGGGCGCCTCGGCCACGGCGGTGCCCGAGCTCGTCCCGGCGCGTCCAGGTGGTTCTCGGCGCCGCCGTGCCCCCCGCGCCCAGGGGCGCGGCATGTGTCGGCACGGCTTCCACGAGCGAAGGCTTGCGGGCCACGTCGTGGAGGCATGCATGTTCGTATCCCTTTCAGCGACGGCTGGGTGCGTCACTACCGCGGCTGGCTCGAGGAGCACGCAGGCTTATAGTCTTTCGCGGCCCCCTTAAGTGGGAAATATATTATGCGCGCAATGGCCCGCGGCATCCCGACTGTCCTGTTCGCCGATCGGCACAACAAGCGTACCTCTGTTCAGCATCATGCTTGTCCTCCCCCGTTCTTTCCCATCATCATCGTCTGCGTCATCAGTATTCCTTCCCCTTCCCCTCCCTTGCTTGCCTCCTCTTCCGCCTGCGGAGCGGTCGCCGCTGAGGGTGTGGCCTGTAGGAGGGGCGGGAGGCGCCTGAGAGGAGCCGGTGGTCCCCGCGCGAGGCCATGCGCGCACGGTGTTCTGGGAAGTGGTCGGCCACGGTACGGCAACCGCTCAGATTCTAGAGGGCGGCTGGTCCGCAGGCCCTGGGTCAGCGACGACGCCGGGCCCGAGCCTCGAGCTGCAGCATCCGCAGAGTTCCTCCGCAGTCAGCCCGCACAGCTCGGATGAGCAGCCTTCCAGGGTTACCCTTGCATCCGTCCCCTTCGGCCTGTCCTTGGCCGCTCTCGGCGTGGCCGTGCCCCGCCCGCAAAGGGACGATATGGCCTTCCAAGGCCCTTGCACCCTTACCGCGCACCCTTATTATACGGGTTGACTGTACTGTTCCGGGCCTCGCGCTGGAAGGCCGGGCTGCGGTGCTGCACGCTCACGGTTCTTGCCAGTCTGCCGCTGCCGATGCGATCGCACGGTTGCTACAATAGCAGCGCAGCTTGAAGCAGGCGGGCCCCCCCGCGACAGGTGCTGGACGCGTACGAGCGGCTGCCCGAGGTGCCGAAGGGGGGGGGCGGGGGGGCCCAGAGGCGGCGGCCGTCTGGCAGCTACGGTCGCTCTAGCTGGGCACCCAGACACCCAGGCCCCCCTCGGATGGTGAGCAAAGTCAGGGCGGGAGGCGTTTGGCCATCTTCGGCCTCTGAGGGCCCTCGCTGGGGCCCGGGGCCGTCAACAGAGCCGCCCTCGGACGATGAAGCGCCAGTCCCGGGGGTTGGGTCGAGACATCCAGGGGCCCACGTCATGGAACACTCGTGACGTCGGGGGTCTTGGCAAACGGCGGTTCAAACAAGTCGGGATGGAGTTCTGATGCGGGGGGGTATCCATAACCACCGCCTGGTGGATCGTTCTTCCGGGAACTCGGTAGATGGTGGATGTGTCTATGTACACACATATATATATATATATTTATATATATATATGGAAAATTCATCCGTTGGCCACTGCCACCTAGGGTCCCAGGACATCGGTCTCCCAGGCTGTGGATAAAATATCTCCCCGCCTCGCAGGCATGTATTTCGTATTTGTCGTTGTCCCGTTTTAATTCGACCGCGTCGTGGCCCACACCGCCGCGGCATCGCACAAAGTGCCTCCCCATGTACAACCTCTGGGCCAAGACCTCCAACGCATTGAACACCAACAGCACAAAGGTTTTTCACCGTTGGGGCCTCTGGAGACTTCTGGGGGACCCTCGCCATGTCGACGTCTGGGGGCCCTCGCCGGGGCCCGGGACTGTCAAACAACGACTCAGTATGAAAAGCAGCCTCAGGGAAACGTCGGGACGTCCAGGGACTCCGTATGAAGCCAAACAGAACATTGCTTGGGTTTCTCGGTTTCGATATCGTGGGCCTTTGCAAACCAGGTTCGGGCACCGGGGCGATGACCACTTACCGTGCCGGCCGTGGGGGGTAAGTCTAGGGGTCTGAGGGCCAGTGTTCAGTATCGTTTCACCGATCCCCATTCCCATCCCCATCCCCATCCCCTTCGAGACCCCCACCAAATTGCCCCCCAGTTCGAGATACACCCCTCGAAACCCGAAGGGAACGTCCTACATCCCCATCCAGGGGGGTAAATCGGCCAGTGGGGCCCAGGCCACGCCGCTGGGGATGGGGATCGGTTAGGGAACGGCCTACATCCCCATCCAGGGGGGTAAATCGGCCAGTGGGGCCCAGGCCACGCCGCTGGGGATGGGGATCGCTTAAAAAGTTAACTCAACTGTCTTGGGCGAGCTGGGCCGCGGGAGGTCTGAACGGCCCGTGCCGACGTCCGAGCGTTGTGCCCAGAGGTGTTCGGAGGTCCGTGCGGACTTCCTGGGTCGGTGCTGGACCCCCCCTTCCCTGGCCCGGGGGTGGACAGAACCCCCAACAGTGACACGTCGATTAGTGAATTGTCCGTTTTCGGTTTTCGAGAGGGCGCCGTGGCCGTTATTTTCCAGGCTTGCGCCCGCCAGGTTTGGGCCTCAGGTCGTTTTCACTAAACCACGTTTTGCTAAAGGGGGGTCTGTCCATCCCCGACTGGCGCGCGGGGGTCATGCCAGGGGCGGGGCTGGAGGCGCCGCAAGGGGGTGTGCAGTGAGATTTCTGAGCATCCGTGGATCTGACTGGCGTAAAAAGCCAGCGCGCTGCTGTCAACACAGGGTCCCTGTCGATCCGACAGATCCGATTCGGCATCGAAGCCGGCAGGCCCGATCTTCTTCGATGCGGACGTTCAGACAAACTATCCGATGCGGCTGGATGCTTGCGTGGCATTGTTGTGCATCTTGGCGCAGCCGATCCGATTCGATTTCGGCTCCGCGCCGATGCTGCCAAATCCGACGCGCATCCCGATCGGACGATCCGATCCGATCTGCCGATTCGATGCTTCGGCCGGTCCTGCACCGCTCGCGGGAGGGGGGGGGGCACGAATTCGTGATGCGCGATCTTGTCTTGGTGGTGGGAAGGCGTTGACACCGGTGCCGGGCCCGGGATAGGGCACGCCGTGCAGGGCTGGCGCGTGATCAAAGCTCAGAGTCTAGTATGTGCATTGCATTTCCCCCGAACTTCCCTTTCCCGCATCCCCTTCCCTCCGCCGCCTTTTTCAATAGCTCTGGGTCGAAAGAGGCGCAAGTGATCCTGACTCGAGTGAAGTCCAGATTTCTTTTTGGGCCGTGTCACGTACCCCCTCCGCCTGGCCCACATCCGCTCTAAAAGAAGCCCCCAGACCCCTCCCTGACTTGTTCTTCGAGGCGGGTACAGGCGATGATGATGTGATTTCGTTTCGATCCAGAGCCCTTGAGGTTCCGAACCCTTTGGGCCAGTTGTTCGTTCCGAACCCACGTCTGATGACCCCCGAGCCGATGACGGACCCTCGATGTCGACATCGAGGACAAGCAGTAGGCGTTAGCAACAAAGCCAAAGCACCCTGTCGGATATGTATCTGGGCTGCACGTAGCCTGGCTCGTGCTTCGAGGAGGACCCAGCGGCGAGGACGAGAAGGCCCCAGGAGGCCCAACAGGGCTGGACCACACGCCAGGGAGGGCCGCCGTTTTCTCGTCTGGCCCTCCTCCTCCTCCTCCTCCTCCTCCTCCTCCTCCCTCTCCTCCTCCGCTTCTTCCTCTTCCTCCTTCTCCTCCTCCTCCTCCTCCTCCTCCTCCTCCTCTTCC